CATAGATTCATAGATTCATAGATTCTAGGACTGGAAGGGACCTCGAGAGGTCATCGAGTCCAGTCCCCTGCCCGCATGGCAGGACCAAATACTGTCTAGACCATCCCTGATAGACATTTATCTAACCTGCTCTTAAATATCTCCAGAGATGGAGATTCCACAACCTCCCTAGGCAATTTATTCCAGTGTTTAACCACCCTGACAGTTAGGAACTTTTTCCTAATGTCCAACCTAGACCTCCCTTGCTGCAGTTTAAACCCATTGCTTCTGGTTCTATCCTTAGAGGCTAAGGTGAACAAGTTTTCTCCCTCCTCCTTAGGACACCCTTTTAGATACCTGAAAAGTATATGTGTGCCTTAGCCAGCATAACCTAGTGGCTAAGACACACTCAGCTGCTACAGAGCGTCCTCTACTCAGAGCCCACACGCAGACCAGCAAAGAACGCTTGGGTCAGGTTTTGGTCCTGTTCACAGCGTGATACATACAGAGAGCCACATATCGGCAGAGTACAGTTACCATCAGCAGGTAATACACTGAGAGAGACTCGTCAACTCTTTTAATAGATCACAGCTCAAGTTAGGATCCAGGTCAATGGCAGGGCTTCAAAGGTTGGGTATAAACAAGTGGGGGGAAATGGGGCTGAGGAATCACTCTCAGGATTACGAATGGGACGCACACAAACTCACACATACACAGGGACACACAGCGCGTGCACTCCCCCGCCCCCGCCTCTCTGCAGGGTAAAAAGTCATTTTAATATTACTAGAAGTGCTGCCAAGAATCCAAATATTGATTGTGATTTGTTTATTTTGCACCCCTAAAATCAATAAAAAAATATGTAACGAGTTCCCAGGTATCTGAACCTCGCGACTGCTTCCCACTCCCAAACTCCCGTCCTTATGCTCTGTGGCAGCAGGTGTTTAGGACTGAGTTACGGGCAGAGCTGGTCACTGCAATGCTGGCGTGGCCTGAATAGAAGCTACACCAAGAGCACCTGTAAAACCACTCATAAAAACAAATCAGACAGCTGGTTCTTCCAAGCGCTAGCAAACAACAGCTGCTGTGTCTGGGACATTTCCATTGTTATCACTGATTTCCATGGGATGGCAGAGTCGCTGCTTGGGGGAGGGGGCCGGTATCTCCTCTCCTGAATCCCTGCCTCTGCAGACAACTTCTTTCCTTCGAACCAAAGAGCCACTCACCCGCGTCAGTCATTTCTTTTGCCTTGTACCCTAGGGTACATGGTGACGGCAGCAGCCCTGGGATCACTGAGCTGACTGGATAACTGAAGAGTTGTTAGACTGGAGTAAGCAATGGCAGCCCTACATTTATGCTAATTATGTGGTCATCACATGAGCCCTGTATATCTTAGAGTCTCATATCATACAAGGCTGACTTAGGCACAGGCTGGACAGGCAGCCTCTAGAGAAACACCTTTTAGGGGTACTATGACACTCAGGGGTTCCACTACTGAAAGCAGCAATGTGGCCAGAAGATTCCACTTCTGTTCCTTTACTCACTGCAGAAAGATGCACTGAGAGCTCAGCTGAAGATCAAATGCAACAGGAGAAGGGTCGGCCTGACCCAGAAGCCTCCCCATGCCCAGAAGTCTCGGAGCACATCTCTAGGAGCATGGGTGGTGGAATGAGGCCAGCTGGCAGAAACGGAAGGGAAGAAATGGAAGGTGACCTGGGAAAGGGGGAAGAGATAGAACTTGTTGGGTTGGGGGCTGAGATACCACAGCTATTCTTCACCTAGGGTAACAGTATACCTGGGGTAGGGCCAGGCACTGCTCCCTGTCGCCAAACAGTGGACAGCTCTAGTGACACTGGCCATTTCCTCCGTATCCTGCATTCCCTGATTCCTGCTCAGCCTCCATTCCATGCAATGAGTGCAGGGGACCTTTTCCAAACTGGTTCCCATCCCCGCTTTGCGTGTTGTGCTCCTGGCTTCTACACTTCCCTAAAGCCTTTGTTCTTGGGTGGAGGCCAAGGAGGTTTCATAGGTATGTGGAATTTGAGGGGAGAGCTTAATCACAGGCCTGGAGGAAACTGGGCAGAGCCCTGCAGGTCTTTCCTCACAAGATCCCTGAGAATCTAGGCTCATCCCTGTGAGAAGGGGTCTGAGAGGCCCCAGACTGGGGTCAACATGTAAGTTGCTCTTATCTCATAACATGGCTCCTCTTGAGGAAGGGATCCAGTTACCCAACCAGGTCTCCAAACTGCATGGGGTTATGAGATCAGGGGGACGGGGGTGGGGAATCTTGAGTCACAGCTACAACGAAATAACCAGCGTTCTAAGCACAGCCGTGCGTTTCAGGCCAACCCACCGGGCTTCACAGCACACCCAAGACCTGAGTGTGGGGCATAGCCCTACGCACCCTGTCACGTTACACTGCTTGTTCAGAAGTCACAGTTCTGTTGTCCTCGTCTTTCCCATCACAAAAAGGCTCCTCTGTCCAGTGGGAGCCCTGTTACACTTCCCACACACCTGAGCTGACTAGGTCAGTGCACTCTACAGAGCTTTTTGCATTTCATTTCCCTGGGGTTTTTTGGAAAGGGAAAGGGAAAGGAGGAAAAAAAGCAAAAGGGCCATAGCTGCAGCACTATGGAGCTAAGTGATTCTCCTTTGCACAATTCCACACTTTAATCTGCACGCCTGAAACTTTTGAAATTCACCTGAAGAAGGGAGGGAGGAAGGGAGGGAGGAAGGAAGCAGTTGTGCCTGCACACACACCACACTGCACAGGGCTGGTGGAAGAGCCTTCAGGTCAGAATTCTGGAGGAAGACCGGTCAGCAGAGAACAGATCATGGGCAAAAGACAGGGAGGAGGCCTGTAGGCGGAATACAGCCTCTTTCGAGAAGTCAGTTAGCCTATGGGCTAGGCTTTGTTGTAAAGGGCTTCCCTTTGGCTCATGCTTAATCCAAACCTGGGAGTGCTGAGCTGACTTAGCGGGTAGTTGGTGATGCTGAGTACCCTACAGGATCCGGCCACTTGTGTCATCAGATTCGGACACACTTGCCCCCTTGTTCCCCAAACATGCAAATCCTTCCCAATTTTGACGGCTCTGAACATAGCCCCCTTCCCACCATCTATCCCAGCATCAAAACATTCTGGGCAGTCAATCAAGAAACCAGATAACAAAACAAAAAAATCTCAACTAATCTTTGTGGCTGAAGAAAGAGCTGATTGTTTTTGCTCCTCACTGAGCCCTCCCTTCCTCCCTCCCACGTCTCTCCCCCAACACCTTAATTCCTTTATTGGAGGAAAAAATCTTGGTATTTGGACTGTTTTGTTTAGCAAATGAGGGCCATGCAAAGTGATTCCCCCAGGCAGCTGCCAGAAGGAGAGAGGGGTGTGTGTATGCTCCCAGCAGCCTTCAGGCATAGAGGGCTCCACCCCAGCAACATGCTATTGATCATGGATCTATCTGGACATAGCCTGGACCCGGAATGATCAAAACTGGGAAGAGCTGGGGGGAGGGGAAGGGGAGAGGAATGCTCTCCCAGGGGAGTGCCAGCAAAAAAAAAAAAAGCTTTAGTAAGTGGGGTTGGAGGGTGTTGATGAGAACCAAAATCTGTGCCGATTTCAGGCCAGCAGCTCTGTTCAGGACAGCAGATTAGTGTTGCTATGAATAGAAACAGACTTGCTTAAGTCCTCTCCTGAATCAGAGCCTCTTGAAAGACTATGGGGAGGCCTAGGCCAGGTCTACATTACAGACCTATATCGGTGTAACTACGTCCCTCAGGGGTGTAAAAATCCACATACCCTGAGCAAGGTAGTTATACTGACTTAACCTCCCCCCCGTGTAGACAGTGCTATGTTGAGAGGAGAGCTTCTCCTGTCGACATAGCTACCGCCTCTCGCAGAGGTGGATTAACTACGCTGAGGAGAGACGCTTTCCTGTCAGCGTAGGAGCATCTTCACTTAAGTGCTACAGCAGCGCAGCTGCACTCATGCAGCTGTACCGATGCAGTATTTTACGTGTAAAAAAGCTGCCCCATGTCTTTAACCTGATTTATGCTAACTCAGGTGAAAACTACAAGATTCCTTATCTCTACTAGGATTTTACTCGTATTGGTTATCACATGTTCTAGCACCATCTGTTCTCCTAGTGCAGGTGAGGCCTCTGAGTAGCAGACAGACACTCACTAAGCAAAATGGCTGCTTCTGGGGCAGGGCAGGGCAGAAGCAAGCCACACACTCTTCAGGAACAGCCTAAGCATGTCCAGCCAGCGCAGCTTTCAGAGGAGTTTGTTTGCCAAGTGCTGTCGTCTCCCTTCTGAACTGTGGTTAGGAGAAAGTGTTTTCATTGAAAGGGAAAACAAATAAGCCCAATTTCCCAGCCCCTATCCCTACCTCTCTGCAAGTGCTGCATCCCTTGGGAGCATCTCTCAGCTCTGGGGATCAGCATGTCACCGCTCTACCCTCTAAGCAGAGGACACAAATGGAAGCCTCAGGACATTAGTCAGTCTCACAATACAGCTGCAGAAACATGTTCTCCGTTAGTTTAATAAAGATTCCTTCCTATTATTAAGGCCTTGACTACAGAGGGGAAGTTGACCAGCATATCTGTGAATAAACTATTCCAGAAAAGCTATTCAGGTATAATTTAGCTATTCCACAATAGCTCCACATATGGACACTCTATTCCAAAATAAGAGTGTCTTTCATTCAGAAATAATTACTCCACTCACAGAGTAATTACTTTTATTCTGGAACAGATTCCACAAGGGAGAATTATTGTGGA